TGCCCCAGTATCTGGAGACCTACAGGTCAATTGGACAGTTCTCTGTGGCCTGGTTTTCTTTAATTTGAGAGGTTGGATACCTTCTGTGTGCGATGCCCAGGCTCTGCCACTGAACTCCCATGATAGGAACAGGGGGAGTTGCTGCCTTTATCAGGTCAGGACATTTATCTACCTAGCTCAATACTGGTGACTCTGCCTGTCGGCTACCAGTTGTTTAGATGAGGACCCTTGGCCCTCCAGAGGTTCTTTGCCTCTGTCTCCTATCACCTCGGTCATTGGCAGTGCTGGCTGGGGTTGAAAGAAACTAGAGCCTAGGAACCTCCAGAAAGTCTCTCTGCCCAGTCCAGATGACCTTGGGCTAGACAGAGTCGGGGACTGACTTAAGAAAAAGCAACTTGCTTTGACAGGTCCCTTTTCATAAGGGATGGACTCCCTGCAATATGGTGTGCTAATTCTCAGCTCAGATGATTGGAGTCGGCTTTGAAGGAAAGAGGGCCACCAGCTGCTGCCTCCCACGACTTCAGTCAAAGAATATCCTCCCTGGTATTCTTTTCCCAGACAGTCTTACAGACACTTTCCTCTCCCCCCCTCCCCACCCCACACTTTCCCATCTGTCTCCAAGGCTTGCTCACAAGGCTTGGCTGCTTACAACTGCAGTCTGCATGTCTCTGTGTTGAAGAAGAGTAAGGAGGATCTTTCCTCATCAAAACAGAGGAAATGTATTACTTGAAGAGATGATAAAAGGAGATACACAGAAATTCAGAGACAGCGATACAGAGGAAACTGCAGATGAGGGAGAGTTCCCTCTCCCATCCAACAACTGGACCTACTGTCAAATCATTGAGAAGTTCCTCCTAATGTTCAGCCAAAATCTATCCTTCTGTTAAATTTCACCTGCCTTCTAAGTCAACCTTCTAAGGCAACCAACAAAAGTCTTCCACAAGTTGGCATGCCTTCTGATATTTGAAGGGTGCCCTCATGTCCTCTACTCTGTGTCTGCTTCTTCAGATTTAAATGCTCTTGGTACCTCAAACATTTCTTTCTATAATTCATTTTCTTTCACATTGGAGATCTTCCATTGCCACCCTCTGAATCTATTCATTTATCTGAGATATAGGGAAAATGTGGCTTTCCAGAACGTCTTGGAGTCCTAACTTCATCAGTCCCAATGGTGAAGGAGTATGGAAGTGGTCTCCATGGTTTATAATGGATGTCTATGACATCATAGAAGAATAACCCCCAATCATGTCATCTGATATCAGCTCAGAAACAAGGCTTTCCAGGTAAGAGAGTTCAAACACTGGGATGGGTGTCATCAAATGCTGACTAAGCAAAGTGATGAAAGTTCATGTGATTGTCAGAGTGTGATTAAGCTTATTGGGTCAATGTAAATATTAAAAAGGTCATGTGACCTATTATTCTTGCATACTAGGGATAGATCCTACCGATTTCGTAATTATTTCTGACAGATCATTGCCCATATTTTGTGTTTTGAGTATTTGCTGGAGTGCCTTTAATTTTTTTAATGCATTAGAATGTTTTAGAGTTCAGCTCCCTGAACACACCAGAGCAGAAAGGGATTGGCTCTCCTTTGTCAGAGATTTCTATACACATGGCCGACGGTCAGGGGTGCAATAGCAGTGGACTTCTTGCCTTGTAAGGGGGCTGGAGGAGATAACCTTCCTTCTCTGCAGGCTTTTCATAACAAAGATGACCAGACCCACTTGGAGGGTAATGCTTAACCTCCAAAGTTTGCATTACAGTAAACATTCTGTGATATCCTTCCTCCACCATTTAGAAAGGCTGCTACTGCCATAAAAGAAACTAAAAGTTAAAGTTACACCCCAGAGGCAAAATACAGTACATTCTCACTTTTCATACGCAATTAATGTAATGTCATATGATTACATTATCGCAAAAAGGAGATAATTACAAGTAACTTGTAGAAATTTTCAAAGAGATAGATGTGTTAATTTGTTTTAGCAACTACTGGGAAAATATTTTTTACAAAATTAAAAAATAAAAACAGTATTGCAGCCACACCTTAAAGATTAAAAAGCTTATTTCAGGTTGAGCTCCCATGGATTACAATTCATTCATGGTGAGGGAGGAAGGCAAAAGGCCATGTGTCTGAGAAACTGTATTCAACTGAAACAAATCTCATTTTTAAGGGGCTGCAAAATATTGGTTTTGATTCTTTTTTAAATAGTTAGTCATTTGGAACTATTTACGCCTAAGCTCTGCCCCACAAACTATCAATTGACAAATAATGTGTCGTCTTTTTCAGAGGTCTAATTAAATGTCCCATGGCCAAGAGATGTTAGGCTGATGGAGGCAGGTATTTTCCATAGCCTTATGATTATGGAACTGTCTCCTCAGAGAGCTCAGATTGTCCCCATCCTTGTCCATCATTGGGTGGACCATCAGTACTCTTTTATTTAGGTTGGCTTTTGATGTATTTTAAAGGTTAATCCCCTCACTCCCATTCCCTGGATGTTTTAAAGATGCCTTACTTTGGTCTTGATGTGATTCTTTTGTTTTCAGAGTTGTGCGTTGCCATGAGTCCCTTTTATGCAGGAAGATGATTTTATAACAAATATATTAATAAATAAGCAAATAATTAATATTTTACTTCAGTTGTAATATTGGACAGTATGATGTGGTCCCCCCCCCGGCTGATTCTCCCATCTTAGAAAGAGAGTATATGGAAGACTGACTTTTTTGAAGCAGCACAAAACAAACAAACAAACAAATCACTACGTTTTGAATCCCCCTACATGAGGAAAACTAACAGATCAGGAAGGAGGACTTAGAAATCAAAATGCATTCGGGAATGGAACGGTCAAATTCAGACAATGACACATTTAATTGGTTTTCTCAGTTTAATCAGGATTAGAAGCTGTTGAAGGGCAGAATTCTTTTCCCTGGTGTGAGACTCAAGGATGCTGGTAGACTGAACCTATCACGGAAACTGGACTTCATTCTGTGAAACCCCAGTTGAAAAATGCTGGACAGTGAGAGAATAAAGCTGGTGGGGGCCTGGTCTGGGCAGAAGTAGGGCACTGGTTGATGAAGCGTGCAGAGCTTTTGGAACCATCTCGGGAGGGGATCCGGGTGCTAGATCCTGTGAAGCAACATCAGGATGGGCGATCGTTGAGTTATCAGGAAGAATATTGCGGGGTGGATTAAAATACCCACATATTATTGCTTAGTGCAGTTCCTTCTTCATATTAACCTTGAAAAATGACAAGGGATAAAAAAAGATGCCAGCTGCCAGCACCCCTTATACGCTTTCACTGTAATCCCTTCCCCCACATGGTACCCAACTTTTCAATTTGTTGTTCCAAAGGAACACTCCATCCTAGATGCGCCCATCGCTTCAATCAAAGCCCCGGGAAAGACATTTTTACATTCCAAGTCTGTACAAATAAACTCCTATCAGACAACACATGCCCACACTTGTCTACTTGATATCACAACCCACAACTGTGATATCACCATCCAGACTGTACAATGAATGAATACAACTGGGAGAAAGCAAGCAGTACCCACTCTTGTGCTTTTACAGATTCCAGTCAGGCTCTGGGTCTAAGCCATCATCCCCTCAACTAGAATTGCAATTGTTCTATTCAAGAAATTCATAATGCACACCGAAGACCTGGAGACACACATGGAGCCATGAAGATGGACAGGCTAAGGGGGCAAAATTTTGCTTTAAGGAAAGTTTGGATGTCTTGCAATGTGGATCCATGTTTCCTCATGGAAGCCAAACACCTCTGTCTGTCTGTCTGTCTTGCAGCCACTAGACATCTCTCGCTATCTGTCCATTTAGCCATTGTTCTTTAATCCCCAAGGAAGGCAGACTGACTACATGGATGGATAATGAATGCATCAATTGCTGTATAAATCGGACTGACTACACATGCAGAAGTGTGGCATCCGGGTCTCCACCTGTAACGTTTCCCTCCATCCTCCTATTTTGATCCCTTCTTCCTCCCTCTTTTCTCCACACACAGGGAAAAAAAATCCCAAGCCTCTCCATATCAAGAACAGAAAGAGCAAGCTGACACACTTACCAAATGAACTGTGGAGAGAAATGGAGGGGCTGATCCCAAAGGAGGGAGTCTCTGGTCCGACTGAAATGGAGAGAGAGCAAGAGGCTGTTTAGGGAGATGGGATCCTCACTGCTCCCTGACAGCTTCCATGGCTCCCCTGAAGCATCCCTCTCCTTGGCTGAACCTATTTCGGGATGCTCTGGGTATCAGCAGACTGTGTTAGTTGCCTGCCTGATACGCCTGCCGGATCTACCAATTGTTTTGAAGGGATGGGGGGGAAAGACCTGTGTTCTCTGCCTTCCTTTCCCTGGCTCAGCAACCCTACAATTGCTCCTGCGTGCTATTTAGAAGCAGGAGTGTGTGCTTTCGCTTCTCGCAGAGATGCTTTCTGCCTGTTTCTTCTCCATCGTTTTCCTCCCGGGCTGTCCTCCTGCCCTGTCTCCCAGCTGGTACAAGACTTGGTACTTGCCATCCTACACACGCTTGGTCTGAGCTGCCAGGGTTGTGGATTAGCTTTTCTGGCAGTTCTTTTTTTGAAGCAAGGGAAGCAGCCCTCTCCCTTTATTATCCTTTAAGATGGGAACTGTTTCCTTCTCTCTTTGCCTCGTCCCCAACCTCTCATTTCCCACCCTGCCCCACCCTGTGCTCCTGCCCCATCCTTTGAGCAACAGGTCACCATGAAGTTTGCCCCCTTTCATTTTTCACCTTAGCAGAGTATTCATTATTTCCGAATGGGGTTGCAATGAAGGCAGCAAATGGAAGCAGAAATGAAATTGTCCTGTATTTCTTAGGGGACTTTCAAAGGTCATTACCTTCCAAATAGCCTCAAAAGCATTTCACATGTACGGTGTCTTTCCCTGCTGAAAAGATGCTTCTACAAAGCATACTCAGTCAGTCTCTTTAAAAAATGCATTCACCAAAAGGCATTTGGGCTTAATTAGATGGTCTTTCCCCCCCAAAACTTGTTAATTATTTGTGATATGTTTATGAAAAATGAAAAACAAGAAACCAAGGTTGGCTTAAAAAGTATGAGGAACCTCTGCCATTTGGAGATCTTTATCTGATCCCACCCCTCTTGTAAATGTCTAAGTGGGGTAGCATTTGCCTGAATACACCTGGAAACATAGGTTTTCTCCAGTGCTACTGATAATCAAATGTATGTTTTTCTTCAAGATTATTACTGTTACTCAAATATATAGATTCAATCAATTAGAATTCTTTGATTTAATAGGCTAGTACTCACTCGATCTTTAAAAGGGTGCTTCAGCTATATGTAGTAGTTATGCACTCATTGAAGGAATTAACACATCCAGTTGATTAATCAACCTACTGAATAGCAGTTGTCTTCCTGTCCTTCCTTCCTTTCTTTGCTATCTCCATCCCCCTATCCTTGCTTCTCCCCCCCCCCCATTCATTCATTCATTCATTCATTCATTTGAAGGCTCAAACATTATGTACAGGTAAGTCCTATACTTGCTACCAGGAATCCTTAAAAAAAAAAAATTAAGATGCCCTGATTGTACAAAGCAACACTACATACATGTACTCCTGGATTGTTTAGTGTAGTTTTTATGAAGACCACCTGGAACAGAAGCAATTAAAGGAAAGAAGGAACCAGAAATGGCTGAATAGCTGAGCCTGCAGGATGGCTCACTTTTCTTTCTCCATCTTCCATAGCCTGGTGGAAGGCTGAATGACTGTCAAGGAGAGGCAAAGCCTAGCGGAATTGGCTTCTCAGGAAAGCTGTGATCATATTAGACTGTAAAGGTACTGAGGATATTGCCGCCTTCTTTGATGATGTCCTTTGTAGGTCAGGCTTGGGAACTGGGAATATTAGTGCAATGTGCCAGCCTCACTGCGATGAAAACTCTGCTGCAGAGTTTGTATTTCTGGTTAAATTCCTCTAGCTGTGTAGGAGAAGTTCACAGAGCAGAATATCTTCAAATTCCCTAGAGTAGTCCACCCCTTTTTCTCATCCATTGGCACTTACAGTGTTAATAACTCAATCTGAGGCATTTATAAGAGAAAGAGAAAAAAAGTTTCATTACTTACAATTGAACAGATCAAACAGCAAACTGACAAACATGACTGCTTTCAGCAAACAGACTTCAACAGACTATCTGATTGCTTCCAGCAGACAACTGAGAGAGGAAAAGAACTGAGCAGAACGGTGGGGCTCTCTTTGAATTCCAAAGCAGGAAGGAACAATTGGTTACTGCTGGATATACTGACAGTCACCCCAGCCTGGAAAATTCATTCTCATGTGCTTAGACAGGTTATACCTTTGGACATGAATCATTACATTTCTGGAGAAAAATGGGGCAGATACACCCCGAGGGTGTTGGGAGCATGGCACTGAAAAGGTATGTTATATTTGTGTTTCCTTTTTTCTTTCTTTTTAAGCTGATATGTTAGTTATGTTGTGTTTATTTGTTGTTATATTATTGAAAATATTTATTAAAATAATAATAATAAAAAGAAAGTTCCCTCCCAGCCAAACCTACTAAAGTCAGCATGCGAGGTTGCATAAATTCCACCAAATTGTAGCAGTCAGACCCAAGTGTCTTACTCCTTATGCCATCATGGCAACTCTGACACAGATGGACTTATCAGTCTGACCTATCTTGTGCTAAAGCACTCTGTCCACTCTACCAATATAACTGGAGACTTCTGCATTGCAGGTGCTTGGCCAAACCACAGACTCGAGGACTCAATAGAATCTCAGCATCCTGTGTAGATGATGTACATTCCAGGATAAAGTTCCTCTTTCTGAACTAATTTTCTTGCCAATTGCCCTTCTGCTTCTGAACCTGATCTACCCCACCCTCTGGTCTAGCTTCAGCTATGTTATCTGTTTTTGGTCTTTTGAACTCTCTGTAGTTTGTTTTAGAAATCAGTACTTCCTAAAGCTTGGAAGTAACTGGTTACAAAGCACTAGTTAGTTGCTGATCTGAAAACAAGTGTGGGATATACTTTTGTTAGACCACTAAGATCTTCCAAACAGGGGAGCTTTTGAGTCCTGCAGGACCCTTTATTAGGCTGGGCATTACAAAACTGAGAGATCCACAATAATCATGGCCTGATATTGAAGCCAGTCTATCTAGTTTAAATTAAGTCCTAAAGTGGAGACTTCTGCTGACTGAAACAGTTTCAGGTTTCACTCCAGGCAGTGTAGATTCCATTGTCCATCCTTCACTTGGCTGCCAGAAACAAAGGGTTTCTGCTTGGCTGGAAATCAGAGGCACACAGAAACATGGCAAACCCCACATCAGGTAAATATGGGATGCATCTCATTTATACACTAAGCAGGATGGAGCCAATTGCAGGCAAGCTAAGAGAATTACCCAATGGGTAAAGGTACTGAGGGGAGTGAAAGAATCCTGTCTCTGCAGCTCCACTGAGCAGCAGGACTGGTCACCCACATTAGTGCATATGCACCAAGACTGTCGTCTGCAGCAGAAGCCAAAGACAAATTCTATGACGATCTGGCAGCTAGTATTAAAAAAAATCCCTGAGAGAGAACCACTGTTCATTCTTGGGGACTTTAACACCAGAGTTGGTGCTGATCACAGTTCTTCACCCACTTCTCCAGGCTGCTTTGGCATTGGGAAGATGAACAAAAATGGCCAACGCTTGCTGGAGGTTTGCTGCTATTATGGTCTTTGTGTCAGCAACATGTTCTTTAATACGAAGCGTTGACACACAGTCTCTTAGAGACATCCAAGATCGAAGCATTGGCATCAGCTTGATTTGATCCTCACTAGACGCTCTAGCCTTCCTAGTATTACGATCACATGCAGTTACCAGGGTGCTGATTGCAATACTGATCACTCCCTGGTGTGTAGCAGAGTCAAACTGTGAATAAAGAGATTGTATCACACGAAAAAGGAAGGAAGACCACGTATTGACATCAGCAAGACTCGTGATCAGAGAAAAGTGGAGGAATTTGCTCAAGCATTTGAGGAAATTCTTCCAGGCCCAGCTGATGCAAATACACCTGAATGATGGGAACATTTCACGAATGCTGTTTATAACACCACCTTGTCTGCATTTGGCAAGAAGACCAAAAAGATGGCCGACTGGTTCAAAGCCCATTCGGAGGAGCTGATGCCAGCCATTGAGGAAAAGAGGAGAGCTCTAGCAGCATACAAGGCCTGTCCTACTGAGTACAACTTGTAAGTTCTTCGAGTTGCTCATAGCAAAGTCCAACAGACTGCCAGGAGATATTCTAACAATTATTGGCTACAGCTCTGCTATGAGATACAGACAGCAGCAGACACAGGTAACATCAAGGGAATGTACGCTATCAAGCAGGCTTTAGGTCCAATACAGAAGAAGTCTTCCCTTTTGAAGTCTGCTACAAGCATAATCATCCAGGATTGAGCACAGCAGATGGACCACTGGATGCAGCACTACTCTGAGCTATATTCCAGAGAGAATGTAGTAACCAAAGAGGCATTAAATAACATTGAGTGCCTGCCTGTCTTGGAAGAGTTGGACAGCGAACCAACTTCAGCAGAAATAAAAGCAGCCTTGGATTCCCTCACTTCCGGAAGGCACCTGGAAAGGATAACATCCCTGTTGAAGTGCTGAAGTGCTGTAAAGAGATCATCACCACCGAACTGTATGAAGTGTTTCGTCTTTGCTGGAGGGAAGGTGGAGTACCACAGGACATGAAGGATGCAAACATCGTCGCATTGTACAAGAACAAAGGAGACAAGGGTGACTGCAATAACTACCGTGGCATCTCTCTTCTTAGCGTTGTAGGGAAACTGCTTGCCCGTGTCGTGCTGAAGAGGCTCCGAGTTCATGCAGACAGAGTCTATCCAGAATCACAGTGTGGATTTTGAGTCAATAGATCCACCACCGACATGGTATTCTCCCTCAGACAGTTGCAGGAGAAATGTAGGGAACAACAACAGCAGCCTGCCAAGATTTTGGACTAACAATCAGCCTGAAGAAAACACAAGTCATGGGCCAGGGTGTGGATTCACCTCCCTCTATTACTATCTCCACACAATAATTGTTGTTGTTCATGACTTTGTGTACCTTGGCTCAACAATCTCTGACACTCTCTCCCTAGATGTTGAGCTGGATAAATACATTGGCAAAGCAGATACCATGTTCTCTAGACTCACAAAGAGAGTATGGCTCAATAAGAAGCTGACGACATATACCAAGATCCAGGTCTATAGAGCCTGTGTCCTGAGCACACTCCTGTACTGCAGTGAGTCC